TCCCATGTCATGTGTATATCAATTACTTTTTCCTTTTTAAAAATTGCTGCATCCCACATTCCATTGTGGGCTTCCCTGGTGGGCTCAGTGGTAAAGAATCTGCCTGCCAATGCAGGAGATGTGGGTTCAGTCCATGGCTTGAGAAGATCCCCTGGAGAAGGAAATGGCACCCCACTCAAGTATTCTTGCCTGGGAAATCCTGTGGACAGAGGAGCCTGGTGAGCTACAGTCTATGGGGTTACAAAAGTGTCACACACAACTTAACGACTAAACAACAACAATTTCATTCTATGGACGTGCACTGTTTTTTCATCTGTTCATCAGTTGATGGACTTGTGGGTTGATTTCTGTTGGGGCTGTAATGAATAATGCTGACATGGTTTCATTTCTCTTGGGTAGTTATCTACCTGAGAGTATAAGTGCTGAGTCACGTGGTAAGTGTCTGTTTAAATTTGTAAGAAACTACAAAGCTGTCTTGCAAAGTGGCTATGCGATGTTACACTTAAGCACCATGTCTCCAGTTCCTCCACAGCTTTACTAACCCGTGATGTTGTCAGTCTTTTCAGGTTTGTCATTCTAGTGCATTTTGCTAATGATGTAAGATGCTGAACAACGTATATATGCTTCTTTGGCATCCGTATAGACCTTCAGATCCTTTGCCATTTTACATTGGGTATTTTGTTGGCTTAACATTGAGCTGTAAGAGTCGACACCTCTTTTTTGTTGCTGCTGTTGTTCAGTTGCTAAGTCATGTCCAACTCTTTGTGACTCCATGGACTGCAGCATGTCAGGCTTCCCTGTCCTTCACTGTCACCTGGACTTTGCTAAAGCATCCAACCATCTCATCCTCTGTTGTCCCCTTCTTTTTCCTGCTTTCAATCTTTCCCGGCATCAGGGTCTTTCCCAATGAGTTGGCTCTTCGTATCGGGTTGATATGTTAGATGCTTTGCCCTCAGAGGCCACCCATTGGTCCTCCTGGCATGCCCCTGGGTCAGTACTCAAGATCACTGGCTATCTCAGGTACCTGCTAAACCTTCCCCTTTCTGCTTACCCCAGGTAGGCTTGGGAATCACATACTTACCAACAACCCCTGACTTGGCCAGCAGTATAGTGTCTGCTCAGTACAGTCTCCCTGTGCTCACAACAAAGGCTCCTCTTTGCCTCAGGCTGGAGTCAGCACGCCCAGCCAGGGGACTTGGAATGGGGGCTGGGAGCCTTGGGTCCCCCTTCTGTCTTTATGACCTCTTCCTTTATGATTTGGAGCTCATCACTTTTCCTCTCCGGACCTCAGTTTCCTCATCTGTAGAAAGAGAAGGTTGGACTAGTTGACTCCAGGGATATAGATACTCTGAATCTCTGCTCTTGGTGGCTTTGGTAATGGCCATTTGTGGAGGTTCCTGTAGTCACAGCATTCCTTAAGGCAGGACTTGGGATTTTGCAAGAGGGTCTGGTGGGCAGGAAATGCAAAGAAAGGAATGGGGCAGGATGATGCCTGGCTCAGGAGCAGATGTCCAGCTTTCTGCTTCAGTTGGAAGAGCCAGACTCTGCTTTGGAATAGCCACCATTCATCTTGTCCAAGCTCACAGGGTTTGACAAGCTGGAGATCATGGTTTCTGTATCATGTCCAGGACAAAGGATAGAGGGGAGGTGGTGGTTTGAATCAGAGATGGAGAGACTGAGACCAGAGTGGTCCCTGGTCTGATAATTATGTGGTGGTATGAAGGGAGTGATGAGTGCAAGCCACGTTTCTAGATACTTGCAGAGCCGCTGTGTGATGTGAAAACATCTCTGAGCTCAGTGGTGATCATGTCCTGGGCTCTGAGACATGACACGGGCAGTCTTCACTCGTGATTGAGGGAAATGCTTGCTTTTAGTCAGAAGTTAGGAAAATAAGGCATAAATGTTTGCAAACTGTCCAGGCTCATAGACCCTCCTATCTTACTGTCTAGTCTTATCCTAGTCTACCCCCGATTCTCCTTCTAGCAGAGAATTAAGCAGTAGGGACCTCCCCCACATCTGCCCTTGCTGGCTCCTGGCCCTGGCCGTGGACAGCAGTGGTGTCACTGCTAGGACTGCTAATCTTAGGAGCCAGACCCTTGTGGAAGTGACCTTCAGACTATCTCATTCTTCACTGTCACTTTATGATGGGGACACTGAGGCCCAGAGGGGAGAAGTAAATTGCTGAAGGTCCCAGAGCATGGGGCCTGCAGGGTGAAGGGCCCTGTACTGGCGAGGCTCATTCTAGCCCGAGTTGAAAGAGATTTTGGGGGAGAGTTGCAGAGTGATAAACCTGGGAAGCCCGGGGTTTCCCCCTCTTGTAGACATTTTGGAGACAGGTCAACTTTCAGAGGCTGCGGACCTTCCCCCACTCCTGCAGCCTACAGCTGTGCACATCTTTACTGTGTCTGGGCTGTCCTTTCAGGGACCGGCTGGGGCCTGTCATCGCCTCTGAAGCCTGTGAGACACTAGAGCTGGAGCTGTGGGGGCGGCGAGGTGGGTGTCAGGCCCGGCCTCACCCGTGGGAGCAGGGCTCAGCTTTGGCCTGGCAGTTGAAGCCAGCTGTTGCCTCCTGCGGTTCTTTCCCATGTCCATCCGTCACTCCCTCCTTTGGGACAGCCACTGAGCCCGTTCTTGGAGGCGGCTCTTCCCACCCCCCCGCCCAATGCCTCTTTGACCCAGGCTGCTGCGAGGGGTCTGGGGAAAGTTGGGGAGCCATGGAGAGAAGGTTCTGGCTCTGCTGACAGTCAGCAGGGGATCCACTGTGGAGCCCCTCACCTTCTCTGAGACCCTGAGTTTCTGTTTGGAAATAGAGCCGTAGTCCTTCCACCTTCTACCAAGAAAAAAAGGAAAAGAGAAAAAAAAGAGAGAGAGAGATTGGCCCGGGTGTGGAGAGCTATGACGAGGCTCTTATAAACACAAGGTGTGCATGTTAGCAGAGCTGTCACACGCCTGCTGGGAGTTGTCAAGGATGACAAGGCTGGGCTGGAGAGAGAGGGGACCCTTTCCAAACTGGAGAAGGAGAGGTGGTGGTTTGGGGTGCTGGGAGGGACGGAATGAGTAGTCATTCTGTCTGGGTGACTCTGGGAAGGGGGAGTCTGAGGGCACAGCCCTGGAAGGCTGGAGGAGCACTGCCTTGGAACCAGGAACTCTGACCCCTGGAGGAGTGAGGCTGTGGTGAGCTCAGCCTTCAGAGTGACCTGCTTCCCGGGCTTCGTGCTGACTCCTGACCCCACCATCCCCTTCCTGAGGTGCTGCTGCTGCTTATGAGGGGGCAGGACTGGGGGTGTGTGGATGGTGGGGAGCAGGTGGTCCCACTGATGGGGAGCAGCTCATGCCCAGATTAGGACAGCTTGGGGAGGGGAGGAGAGGGGAGCCATCAGGTTCTAAGGACTGTATTGTCCCTGTGCTTTCAGAATGGAGGGCTTCCTTAGAGGCTCAGATGGTAAAGAATTTGCCTGTCAATGCAGGAGACCCAGGCGCAATCTCTAGGTTGGGAAGATCCCCTAGAGAAGGGAATGGCTACCCACTCCAGTATTCTTGCCTGGAGAATCCCATGGACAGAGGAGCCTGGCGGGCTACAGTCCATGGGGTTGCAAAGAGTTGGACCCAACTGAGCGACTGGCACTCAGGGTGCAGGTGGGAGTGGGAACCAGCAGGGCAGGGAACTGCCTCCCCTCCCCGATCCTGGGCCGTCAGTGCCATGGGGACCAGGTGCTGCTGGGCTCTGAGAAAGTTCTGTGAGCCTCTGTCTCCCGTGCCTGTCACCTTCTTCGTGAGTCTGTGTGGAATTGCCAGCCCCTTCCCTCCCAGCAGCCCTGGTTCTCAGACCCCTGAGCCAGTCTCCCCCACACCCTCTGCCAGCTGCTAGTGGCTCTCCTGACCTGCTTCTCCGGCCTTTCTTTTAAGTAGGTTTTACTACCCAGTGTTCAGAAAATGCAGATAAGGAAAAAGGAGAAAATAAAAACTGTCTGTAATGTCATCACCAGCTGATGACCTAGGTTAGCGTCTTGGTGTGTGCCCTCCCAGACTTTTCTCCTGATTTGTGCTCACATATTAAAATGGATTATATCCTGTGCTTGCTTTGCAGCCTGTTCCTCTTCTCTTCTGGTTGCCTAGCTATATTTCCACATCAGTCAATATATTTTTAAGGCTGTTTAACATTCCACCTTAGAGATGCCCCATAATTTATTCGACAAATCCCCTGTTGCAGGCCGTTTCCAGTGTTTTGTTACTATAAATAACATTGCGATCAACAAAACCCCCTTGTAGCCCACTCTTTGCACACATCCTTCACTACTTCCCTAGGAGAGAGCCCTGCAGTGGGAATTGTCAGACCACAAGGATGGCCCGGCATGCCGGATGTTGGGCAAAAGCTTTGGCTGTTGAGATGTTGTTGGTGATGTAGACGTTGTTGATGCTGAGGTTGTTGATGTTGAGGTTGTTGATGTAGAGTTCAGGGGCCTTGATCTGCTGAGAACTCACCCAGTCTGGACTTCCCTGGCCTCTTTTGTGGCATTCACAGCTATGTTCTGTTCCCATCCAAACCCTTCAAAGCCATCTCCAGGCTTCCCTCTGCCTCTGGTGACAGCTTTCCCTGTCTCCCGGTCTGGAAGGCCTGGTCTCCATGTGGCCTGACCTAGGTACTTGGAGCCTTGGGTCCTGACTTGGTGGGGATGGTTAACTCCTTTCTAACTGGCTTCTCTTCACTAGGGAGGGGTAAACTATAAGGGGTCAGGGCTGTGTCTTCTTGTCTGTCCATGTCCATAACTCTCCCCCAAGCAGTAGCAGAGGGCCAGGCACAATGGTAGGCCTCAGCCAACACGTGCTTTGCTGAGCGACAGCTGTGGGGTGAGTGGGCCCTCTCTGGGCCTCAGACTTTGTTCACAGGGCAGAGGTGAGGGGTGGGCTGGGTCCCTTCCTGCTGTGACTTTTCCCATCCCCTCCTTGATCACACCTCCTCTTACCCCATAGGTCTTGGGTCCTGAGGCTGCCAGCAGACTATGGGTACAACGGCCAGCACAGCCCAGCAGACGGTCTCGGCAAGCGCCCCCTTTGAGGGCCTCCAGGACGGTGGCTCGATGGATGGTCGGCACTCACTCAGCGTCCACTCCTTCCAGACCACGGGCTTGCACAACAGTAAGGCCAAGTCCATCATCCCCAACAAGGTGGCCCCCGTCGTGATCACGTGAGTGGCAGGACAAGTATGACCCTGTTCCCAGAAGACCTGGCCGGGGGGAGCTGCCTGGAGGGGTGGTGGCATACAGCACTTAACGTCTCCAATCTGCTTCCACTGAGGAAGACACTGAAGCCCAGAGAGGTTAAGCGGTTTGTCTGGAGTCACACAGCAAATGGGTGGCAGAGCTGCTGTCCTTTGGGGTTCTCTTAGCCCATATTACTTATCATGTCGTGGTTGCCAAGGAATGTAGGAAAGGGAAGAGTGGCTGGCTGGGGTGAGGTTGGGATGCTTTTTTGAGAGTAATTTTTCACTGAACTTTTTAAAAGGAAGTTTATGTACTTAGATGCATAAACTTTAGATATTTCCCCCCCCACAGTCTGTAATTATGGTTCAAACTGAGGTTGACACCAGGCTGTTAAAGGGCCTTGGGCTGAAAAAGCTGGAAGCTGTTGTTGGTCAACTTTCCTAATTAGGCCTTTTAGGGACGTTCCCGGAGGCGACTGAGGGTTTGTTCTGGCCCCATACTTTGGGAGACCTGGACACCCTGCGTGTGTCCTGTGGGCCCAGAGAAGGCGCGGGTGCCGAGAGCCTGAGGCCAGGGAGCCGGAGGGACATTGGCTCTGTCTCCTGGTGAGTTGGGAAGCCTTGTCTTTCCTCGCATCCTCCCACTGAGTGCCCTGCCTTTGGACCCCTCCAGGATGGAGGAAGGTAGACATGATTAGCTAAGAACTGGATGTGTTCCATGTAGTGACGTTTGGTGGAGGCCTAGCAGATGGGGCCTTCTGTGTAAGGAAACCTGAAGGAGTGATAAATCCGGCCTGCTGGCTTTGGGGCCTGACAGGAAAGCTGTAAGCATAATACGTTACTTTGCTCATGATAAGGGGAGGAAGGAGTTGTTAAATAAAAGGGACTTGATATGGAGTCTTTTGACTAGCACAGGGCAGAATTTGGTTTGGGTCTTGAGCACATGTGTTGGAAATCCTGGGCCCAGCTCTGCCTCTCTCCTGCTCTGTGACCTTGGGCAAATCCTTTTCCTTCTCATAAAGGCTTAGTTTCCTTATCAGGATATGTGGGGATGACATTCAAAAATTTAAGCGTGGCATGGCTCAACATTCTCTGGCCTGCTGTAAAAACCCACTTCAGTGGTATTGTGCATGCCTCCTAGAGCCAACTGTGACCTAGTGATCCTTGCGTTGTAGCTTGTTTGTGGTAGAAGGGATCTTAGAAGATCATCCAAAACTGGGGCTGTCAAACTGTATCCTTCAGGCCAAATCAGGTCACTGCTCGTTTTGGTAAATAAGTCTTTGTTGGGACACAGCCATGCCCACTCATTTGCATATCATCAAAGGATGCTTAAGGCTGCAGTGGTAGAGTTGAGTAGTTGTAGCAGACTGCGGGGGGCCCACAAAGCCTAAAGTGTTTACTATCTGGCCCTTAATAGAAAAGGTTTTCAGACTCCTGATCTAATCAACAGCTTTTTTAGATCAGATATGAAAACTGACCTAGATATGGAAACTGAGTTTTGGGAAGGCAGGATTTGCCTGCCATGGGTCGTGTGTGAGAGGGAGACAGAGCTGGCTGAGGGAACCCAGGTCTCACGACGCCTGTCTACTGCTCCCCACCCTACTCATTCCATCACCCTGCCTATCCTTTTGTAAAGAGATGTCAGACCCCAGATCATGAGCCCTGGGAGGCTGTGTCTGATTCATTGTTATAATCAGCACAGAAGCTTTTTTGGGTCTGGAATGCACAGCCCTCCCTCAGGTTTAGCATCTTCAGAAATCTGTATATTTTGTTTGAAATGGCCCTGGGTGGAGGTAGAACTCTTGCTTGTAATAGTAATTAGATTACTAGATGATTAGAGTCCCTGAGGCACTTACTTCATTAGTGCTTTGTCTTCTCACAGCAGCCCTTGGAGGTGGGAATTACTGGAGATGCTACAGACTTAGTAACTTCAAAGCCGTGGAGCTGAAGTCATACCCAGGCCCCAAGGCCTCTGTCCTGAACCACTGCACTGTGCTGTGGGATTGTGTGGGGCCTCTTCTCAGAGACAATCTGATGGAGGGACCATCTGGGGCCACAGTAAGCCTTGTTTAAGGAGGCTTTAACCAAGACGGAAGCTTCTCTCTAGACCAAAGTCCAGAGGTATTGCAGGCTGGAATGACTGCTCCATAATTGGCCAGGCTCCTCCTTTGGTTGCCCTGCCATCATCAGCATCTGTCTCCTGCCATCACTTTAGGGTGCTTTCCAGAGAGGAGGAAGGAAGAGTAGAAGGCATACGTCTTCTTTCCTTTGAGGGAATGGCCCAGAAGTTGCATACTTCTCCTCACATCCCATTGGCCAGAACTGAATCACATGATCACACTAGCTCCAAGGGAGGCAGGCACTTGTAGTCTTCAGCTGGATGGCCCAGTCACAATTTCAGGGAACTATTGCTGAGGAAGAAGGGGAGAGTGGATATTGAGGGACAGTAGACAGCATCTGTCATAAATGCGTGTGTGGGATGGGGTGGTCCTGCTGTGGGCCTGGTGAGGGTGGAGTGTATTCTGGCCACCGTGCTTGCCTGACACCGTCTGCATCCTGCCCCTGACAGGTACAACTGCAAGGAGGAGTTCCAGATCCACGATGAGCTACTCAAAGCCCATTACACACTGGGCCGGCTCTCAGATGCCACTCCCGAGCACTACCTGGTACAGGTGAGGTCAGGCCTGCCCCTCTCTCTCCCTTCCTGCCTCCCACCTCTCCAGCCCTCCTTCCTCACAGGCTCCCTCCCTAATCTCCCCCTGCTTTCCCCATGGCCTCCTTCTCTGCCTCACCCCATCCTCTGGGACCCTGATCCCACTTGATCTCACTCTCTGATACCCTAGGGCCTGTTCTTGCTGCCCCGTGGAGACCCTGCTCTTCTGTCCCCATGTGTCCCCTGCCTGGCCCCAGCCTGGCCACACCCCTCCCTCTGAGGACCAAGGAAGACACACATGGAAACCTGAAGGGCTTGGGGCCCCAGACTGCTCTTCTCAGGCTGAGAATCGTCATCCCATTGTCTTTTGAAGTTTTAGGACTTCTTTGGTACATAGATAGAGATGTAGACATAAATGTACATCTATCTAGATCTATCTTTTTTTTTTTTTAACCTTAAAATATCCCCTGGAAAGTAAAGTCTCTAAGGGCAGATGAGTTTTCATGTGTCTTGTTGACTGCTGTAGTCCCAGGTACTAGAACAGCGCTTGGGTAATCATGTAGGTGCTCAAAAACAGTCAGGGAATGAATTAATGGTAGTCATGATGATTAAACTGTATTTGTTGAAAGAGGGTCTGGTTGGGAGGTAGTGGTGGATGGGTAGGTGGGTGAACGGGTGGATGAGATGACTTCACGGTTGCTTTTTGCCCGGGAATGAATCTCCTGGTTCCTCCTGCTCTCACCTGATCGCTTTTTTCTCTGTGGTCTCTGTCCCCAGCTGGGGAAGGGAGAGACCTGCCCATACTCAGAACGGCAGGCCCCTGGGAAGTGGCTCCCACCTTTCTCCTAGTTGGTTACTGGTGCCCCAGCTGTGTGATTCCCTACTTTGACCCCTTTTCCATGAGCTTCCTCTTTGGGTGAGAGATGGTTGTTTTCTGCCCTGGGAGCTGCAGGCGCACCCTACAGGCAGCTTTGGTCTTCAGTTTCCTGTCCCTGCAGTGCTTCTCCCTGCTCTCCTTCCTCAAGTCCTGGCTCAGATGCCACCTCCTGCATGAAGGCTTCTTTGATTCTCCTTCAGGAAGAGTTGTCTTCTCTGTTCCCACACTATATGACACCCTTCCTGGCATCACACGTATTTTGTCTACTTTTCCCACGAGTCTGCAGACAACCTGAGGACCATGTCCCCCACCCCGTTTCCCTGCTCCCCATCCTCTGGGGCCTGGGATAGAGTCTTGTCTGTAGCTGTCCCTGCGTCATCTGAGTGACCCCTGTGGCTCTCCCCTGCCAGGGCCGCTACTTCCTGGTGCGGGATGTGACTGAGAAGATGGACATGCTGGGCACCCTGCAGAGCTGTGGGGCCCCCAACTTCCGGCAGGTGCGGGGCGGGCTCGCTGTGTTCGGCATGGGACAGCCCAGCCTCTCAGGGTTCAGGCAAGTCCTCCAGAAACTCCAGAAGGATGGACACCGGGTAAGCATGGCCATTTCCCAGGCTGGAACCAGTCCCCAAATCTGGGGAAATGGGTTTCCCGGAGGGGCAACTGCAGAGGCTCTGGAGGGCCCTGGCCATATTATGGGGGAGGTGGTGAATGGTGACCAAGGCCAGGCCCTGCCAGGCCCTGAAAGTCGATGGTCATTGTGCTCAGCATGACTGGGAAATTCTGGGCAAATGTTTATTGCATTGTCCTGTATGGACATGGGAGCCCCGAGGTCAGAAGCCCCTCTGTATACCCATAGAATGATGATTACAGCCAAGACTTACATCCTCATGTTGACCCTATATGGGTGGGGAGCTATTGTCCCATTTTACAGAGGAGAAAACTGAGGCCAGAGAGGATAAGAAACACAGCCCCTGAGTGGTGTCCCAAGACCCAAACCCAGACCTCTGGACTCCACGTGTCTGCTTTACATGACTCCTTTCTCTGCCTGCTGTGGAGACGGGGTTTTGAGTGTCTCCAGGACAGAGGTGGAGGGTCCACTGGCATTGCAGGCTCGTAATGGGCAGTCTGATTTAACCTGGGTGAAGGTGGAGAGGCTTTAGTGAACCAGAGTGAAGAGGGGGTGTTAGCTGAGCGTGGATCCCATTCCATCGTCCCAGCAAGTTCTCTAGGGTGGAGCCTGCCCACCTAGCTCCCCCCGTCTGTATGGTGCTCAGTGGCTGAGCGATCACATGCTGCTGGTGGGCATTCATGTCTTCAGCTGATGTTTATCAGCACCTGATTTACTCAGGGCTCTATGCTAGGCTTTGTGGGGACATGAAAATCACCAGGACATGATTCTACCTGCAAGGGCCCTGTAGTCCACAAAGGGAGAAAGATGTAGAGAGGAGGGAGGGTCAGGAGCAGGAGGCATTTGGCCTGAGTTTTGTTTCTGGGGTAAGATTCAGGTTGCAGGGGCAGAGTGGGGTGATGGGCCCTCGAGGAGGTCCGGGGAAGGGGCAGTGGAGCGGGTGTCCATGCCGGTTAGTGGTGATGGCTCCTTCCTCCTTGGGCGCCCGGCAGGAGTGCGTCATCTTCTGTGTGCGGGAGGAGCCCGTGCTGTTTCTGCGAGCTGCTGAGGACTTCATATCCTACACGCCTCGAGACAAGCAGAATCTTCACGAGAACCTCCAGGGCCTTGGACCCGGGGTCCCGGCGGAGCGCTTGGAGCTGGCCATCCGGAAGGAGGTGAGGGCCACCTGTGTGGGTGGGAGGCCGCCCTCCTGGTGGCCTTGGACACCTGAGCTGAGCCCCAGCCTGTCTGCTCTTACTGGCTCGTGCTTGCCCCCTCGGCTGTCCCACGTGGGCCAGTGGCTGCTGCAAGGCCAGCTCACGGGGCACCAGGGTAAGAACTCCTCTTCTCAGCTCTGTTTGCCTCCGCTCTTTCCCCACCCCACTTTTCTCCTCCAAACTCAGCGTTCTTATTTAGAAAAGGGTCTGGTGGAGGGTAGAGAGCACTCGACTGGAAGTCCCAAGACAGGTTCAGCCTTCCGTGAGCTGTGAGGCCTGGGCGGGGCCGCCTCTCTCCCTGGGCCTCTGTTTCTGAGGTTCCTCTGACCTCCTCCTTCACAGCGTGGGGACTTGTCCAGGTCTCTGAGGCTGTTCACACGCCACAGAGCTGTGTAAATAGTGTGTCGGGGTCATGTGTCGCCCCTTCTCCGAGACCTCCCCAGTCAGGCGCAGAGGTCGCGCCGGCTGTGGTCGTCTCCCCATCTCCTTCTCAGGCCTCGTCCCCTTCAGCTCCCAGCTGACCAGCGTCCTCCTGTCCTTCAGTCTGGTGGTTTGGCCTATTCCTGTTGCCCAATGGGCAGAGCCCTTCCAGCCTGACTGCGGTGTGGGGCGCATCAGCTGAGGCGTAGGTGGCTGCCCTCGGGCCAGCGGTCACCCTGGTCCCTCCAGCGCTCCCAGGGCACAGAAAGCACCTCTGGCTGTAGATCTCCCTGGAGGGCAAGCAGCCTGTCCATGGCCTCCGTGTGGCTTAGGTGCCTCCAGAGCTGAGCCAGCAAGGTCCATCATGGCCCTCTGGCCCCTGGCCTCCATCTAGATCCACGATTTTGCCCAGCTGAGCGAGAACAAGTACTACGTGTATCACAACACCGGGGACCTGCGGGGGGAGCCCCACGTCGTGGCCATCCGGGGCGAGGACGATGTGCATGTGACTGAGGAGGTGTTTAAGAGGCCCCTCTTCCTGCAGCCCTCCTACAGGTACTGGGGGCCAGGCCTGCGTGGAGGCCCCAGCGTGCTGGGCGTGGGTGCTCGCTGGGCCTGCTCTCCTGTTGCGGCCTCAGTCTCACCGTCTGCAGGTTGGGCTGAGTCCGCCATGCCTGTGTCTCCCCCGGGAATGGTGGATGTCCGGGGTGTGGGGTGTGTGGCTTACCTGATGGGCTGTTCCCTGTCACCCGGCAGGTACCACCGTCTGCCCCTGCCAGAGCAAGGGGCCCCCCTGGAAGCCCAGTTCGATGCCTTTGTCGGTGTCCTCCGGGTAAATGGGGACTGGATGAGTGGTGGGAGCTTGGTGGGGTGCGCAGGTGCTTGGAGAGGGGGTCTGTGTCAAGGCCCTGTCTCCTTGGAGATGCTGGGGTGCCGTGTCTCCTGGAGGAAGGCCGAGGGGGTTGTGTGTGTCTGTGTGGGTGTGCACTTGTGTGCTGTCTAATGGCAGAGCCCAGCACGGGAGTGTCTGGAGGACTGGGCGCTCTGGCTGTGGCTCGGCTCCTCCCTTTGTTGTGTGATCCTGGATGACTCTCCTAACTTTTCTAGGTCTCAGGTTCCTCATTTCTTTATTAGAACTAAAATTTTTTACCCTCAGGTCTTCAGCTGATATTTCCTAGAGTACCTGTGTTTCGGTCTGTATTCCCCTGGGAGGTGGCCTTATTGAATTTGCAGTGTAAACTGCATAGCAGTGTAGCTGTGGCCCTGTGTCCCCCCTGAGTAGATCTCACCTCCAGGGCCTCGCTGAGCCCCCTGGAGCCTGGAAAGGGGGTAGAGTCTGCGCTCCTGGGGCAGGTGGAGCAGACCGAGCTGTGGGATTTGGCAGAAGTGGCTGCTGGTCTGTCCCCATCTTGCCACAGACTAGGGGAGAGGCATCGATGTCATGATGCCCCTCCACCTGCATCCCAGCTTCGCCCTCAGCTGAGGGATTTCCGGTCACACTGTTCCCTGCTCTTCGTGGTCCTTTCCCAGGAGACTCCCAGCTTGCTGCTGCTCCAAGATGCCCACGGGCCTCCTCCTGCTCTCCTCTTCAGCTGCCAGACAGGCGTGGGCAGGGCCAGCCTGGGCATGGTTCTGGGCACACTCCTCCTGTTTCACCGTGGTGGGACCGCCTTGAGGCCAGAGTGAGTGGCGTGGGAGCCAGTGCCCCAAGGGGCTGCGGGATGGGGGGAGGTGGGGGCGGGCTGCGCCAGGATGCTGGGGACACATCAGAAACCCAGAGCTACAGCTGGATATTGGGCATCGGCAGCTCCTTTCCTGGTTCGCATAGACTTCCCTGGGTGACCTGGAGAAAGTCACTTGACCTTTCTGGGCCTCAGTTTCCCCAGTGGGGCAAAGGCCTGTTATTTCCCCTACCTGATTTGGAAGGGAAACTTGAACGTGTAGTCGAGTGCAGTCCCGGTGAATGGGAGGGTGTTGACGGCAGCCTTCGGGACTGCTGATTATGCTGTTGTCCCTGCCTGTCAGGGCTGCCCCTATGAAGACCAAGCCGCTGTCCATGGAGCAGCTCGAGGTGGTCCAGAACTTTCTCCACACAGTGCCCGAAGGGAGGAGGATGGTGGAGGAGGTGAGCGAGGGGACTGGATGAAGAGCTGGGGGTGGGGTGGTGGGGGAGCGCTCACTGCCCTTGCTGGCGATCTCTCCCCCTCAGCCCTCCCTTCCTGACCAGTCATTCTCTTTGCCCCTCTGTTCTTTTCTGCCTCCTGCCGTCTTTCCTTGGCTCTGCTCCCTCCCTGCCTCTGTCCCCTCTCCCCTGCCCCGGTCCCTGGCACCAGGTGGACAGAGCCATCGCCGCCTGTGCAGAGCTGCACGACCTGAAGGAAGTAGTCCTGGGAAACCAGAGGGAGCTGGAAGGCAGCCGGGCCCAGGTGAGGTGCGGAGAGCTGCTGCTTTCGCTGAAGCTCGGCAGCCTCGTTGGGTGAGGCCTGTTGACTGGACCCTTTCAGCCTGGCTTTTCCTGATTGCTGCTGCTGCTTCCACGAGTAGAGAGCAGTTTTCAGAGCAAGGGGAGATGGGGAGCTGGGCCTGCAGGAAGAGAGGAAGTTTACTTTTCCTGATTGGGACCCCTCGCTGCAGAATAAACAGGATGGAGGAAGGGGCTGCTGGCGAGGTGCTGGAGACTTCTGACTGCAGATGCTTTCCAGGCTGCTCCAGGCCCCCTCTGTAGATGAAACACTTGCTGTTTCGTTGGGAAGACTGGGGTTAGGTCTAGCTCATCTTCTAGAAGAGCGATGCGCTCTGGGCTGTCTCAGCAGGCCTGTCCCGGTACTCTAGAGAGAGGAGGCTGGCTTGACAGTGTTTGCACACAGCTCATGGAAAGAATCTAAAACCCACAGAGCCTTTTTCTTCTTTCATGCTTAAAGAAATATCTTTTAAAAGCAATACTATGGAAAATTGAGAAATTAGAGAAGTAAAACTGCCCATCATCCAAGCACAGCTACTCTGAGCGTTTTGGGCTGGCTTCCTTCAGTTTTCGTATTTCTGATGTTCTTTTGTAGCTTGTCCAGGGCACGTTTGCATCCTGTTTGTTTCATGTAGCCCTGTCTTTTCCATGTCATACCTGCTTGTCGTCGTTGAGATTTATTGCTGCGGAACCAAAGCCATTGCGAGGCCCAGCCTTCCTTGGCCTGGAGGTTACCTGATTACCGGCCTGATTACCGGGCTTCTGTTTCCGGCTTGGCCACCTACAGGCACGTGGGCCTGGCCAACCTCCTTCACTGCTCTGTGCCTCAGTTTCCCCACACATAAAGTGGGGCCACGAACAATAACTGCTCCATAGGGTTGTTGTGAGTTAGGTGAGCTCAGGCCATAAAGTCTCAGAAGGGAGCCCGACAGAGCAGCTGTTCCTGGGCGTTCCCCTGCTGTGATGTACAGGCCCCTTCCCGTTGCACAGTGGGGTCACCAGTGTACCTACTTTGCATTGAACCGCTTCATGCAAATGAGGCTTTTTTGTATTTAGGATTTTTCCCCTTATAAGGTCTGGATTAGGCCTTGACAGACTATGGCCCACAGGCCAAATCCAGCCCACCACCTGTTTTGATAAATGAGTTTGGTTGACATGAGGTCTCGCCAATCCATTTATGTACAGTCTGCGGTGGTCGTGTGCTGCCTTGGCAGCATCGAGCTGTCGCAACACGGATCTGGTGGCCTGCAAGCCTAGAATATTTACTGTCTGGCCTTTTATAGAAATAAAAGTTTGCTGAACTCAGGCCTAGATTCCCAGAGGTGGGATTAATCTTCATCCAAGGGCATGGCCTCTTTTTTCGGGCCTATACAAATCTCACTTGCCCTCCAGAAGGTGGTGCCGACCCAGCAGGAGAAGCCTGAGATCCACAGGTGAAGAGAAGGACCCTTGGAATTCGCTGTGACAGCCCCCCTGCCCAGTAAATGCTGGGGCGGGGAGGGTCACAATTCTTAGGTGGGGCCTTTGGCTCAGGGAAGGGTGTTTATACACTTGATGCTTCAGCACGGATTGTGTGGGTGGTGCTGGGACCATGCAGCGAGGCCCAGCCTCTCTGGGCACAGCCTCATCAAGAACTGGAATGCTTGGTGCAGCAGCAGCTGTGGTCACCAGCAGCTCTCTCTGAACACAGATAAACCACAGCAAATGGGCTAGAGTTAGATGCTTGCAGGAACTTCCAGCCTGGCAAAACAGTGTCATGAAGGGCAGGATAGATTGCCCTCTAGGGATTTCTGAGGCTTAACTTCCAGAGATGGGGTTGGATGGCCTGAACTGCCCCATCTTTACCGCTGGCCCTTCCGGGTCCCTCCCTCTCAGGGAAGCAGCAGCCAGCACGGTGTCCAGCAGAGGGCGCTTCAGAGCATGGAGCGGTACTTCTACCTGATCCTGTTTAACTACTATCTCCATGAGCAGGTGGGGCTGGGGGATGAGCGGACACAAGCCCCCTTCTCCTGGGGCCCCTCCAGTCTCCCCACTCGGTGACTGGCACGGGGTCGGTGGGGAGCTCTGTGGGGCTGGGGAGGGGAGTGGGGACGTTCGTTGCTTTCAGAGGAAGGTGGGAATGGGGGAAGCAAAGAGGGACCCAGATAGAGGGACAGTCCCTGAGCAGGTCAGCCCAGGAGAGGCCCCATCTCTCTTTTCTCTGGGTCCATCTCTGTGTCCTTAGCCAGGGCATCGGGGCCTGGAGGGCTCTCACTCCGGACATCCTGTTCCTCTCTCCCCACCCCCTTGCCCCTGCTCTGGGCCGTGATGGTTGTCTCCCGGGTCCCCCACCACGGGGTAGGCAGGAAGAGTTTGGGATGGCCCCGTGCCCCTGAACTCCCATCTCTCTCCGCCTCGGGCTGCAGTACCCGCTGGCTTTTGCCCTCAGTTTCAGCCGCTGGCTGTGTGTCCATCCTGAACTGTACCGCCTGCCTGTGACGCTAAGCTCAGTGGGGCCTGTGGCCCCCAGGGATCTCATCGCCTTGGGCTCCTTGGTGAGTGTACCTGACCGCTGGGGAAGTGGGAGTGGTATGGGCTGGCCCTGGGGCTGGTTACAGCCCTGATTCCTGTGGGGTCGGGCTGAGCATGGCCCTCAATGATGATGGGTGATGGGATCTGCCTGGGAACAAAACGGGACCATTCTCAGGCCTTAAGAAGTGCTTGCAGCTCTGGTTACTGTTCAGTACCTGCTCTTCATTCTCAGACCCAAGTGCTCTGGGCAGGGAGTGAGGAGAGCTGTTTCTGGTAGCTTTGCCACCAGTGTCGCATCTTTGAGTCTCAGCTTCCTTATCTGGAGAGTGGGCACCATCGTTCTTCTCCATGCCGAGGTGGTCATAAGGCTCCAAGCGTGCAAAAGTGCTTTGTAAACTGTCAAGTGCTGGTCTTATCCCCCTGCCCCACTCCCACCTGGGGCCAGGCTCTGAACCTCAGTGGCTGCTGTGGGTCCCAGGCTTGCTGCTGTTCCGACAGGGGGCAGATGACCTCGTCTCCCCGGATGCACTCAGCACCGTCAGAGAGATGGACGTGGCCAACTTCCGTCGGGTGCCCCGTTTGCCCATCTACGGCACGGCCCAGCCCAGTGCCAAGGTGACTGCCCTGGGGGGCACACTTGTGGGGATGGGGGAACGTGATTGAGCCCTTTCACTGATGGCCCCCCTGTCCCCCAGGCCCTGGGGAGTATCCTGGCCTACCTGACTGACTCCAAGAGGAAGCTGCAACAGGTTGTGTGGGTCAACCTGAGGGAGGAGGCCGTGCTGGAGTGTGATGGGCGAACCCACAGTCTGCGGCGGCCTGGGCCCCCCATGGCCCCTGAACAGCTGGAGGTGGGGCTCTCCTGCCTTCTACCACCCCTCCGTTGGAGGCCTTCTGGGAGCTGGCCTGAAAGGGTCTTCAGAGGCTTGTATGCTTCTGTTGTACAGTTGGAGAAAATGTCCCGAGAGAAGTGTCTCAGGGAGTGACTGACTCAAGACTGTCATGCTAGCCCTGGGTCTGGTTATGAACCTGGAGGCTCGAGAAGGGGCAGTGATAGGCCCAAAAGCCAGGACTGTCCTGGCCGTAGCCGGCTCTGGTCTTTCAGGGCTGGCCTGGGGATTGCCTTGTGGCCTGAGCCCATTGTCCCACCCTCCCCTAGAACCTGGAGACCCAGCTGAAGGCCCACCTGACCAGGCCTCCTGCAGATGCCGAGGGCCCGCGGACACACAGATTCCAGACGTGCCTTACGATGCAGGAGGTCTTCAGCCAGCACCGCGGGGCCTGCCCCGGCCTCACCTACCACCGCATCCCCGTGCCAGACTTCTGCGCCCCTCGCGAGGAGGTGAGAGGTCCAAGCGGCTGAGGCCTCTGGGGCGGGGAGGACGCCCTCGCGGTCTCCCTCTGGGCTGGGTGTTGGCTGTGGGCACAGCTCCCTGGAGGGGCGAAGAGCTTGATCTGCACGGTTTCAGAGCGGCCTCCGTGGTTTCTTCATGCCTTCCAGGCTTTGCGTTTATGTGTGTGCGCACACATGTTTGTGTGTGTTTTCTGTGATATAAATAAGTGTTGTGGGGTGGGTGAGCATGTCTGTGCTGTTGGTGGAGTCTGTGTGTGTTCAGAGTGGTTGTGAGTGTGGTTGTGGACTGTGTATGTATGTGTGTGTGGTGGGTCTGTGTCTATGATGGGCTTGTGTTTCCCCCTCGCTTGGCTCTGTGGTCTGGTTGCCTGTAGTTTGTTACCCCCTAGTGGTCATGTGCTGCAGTGCTTGGCTGAGGTCCAAACTGCCCTGAAGCTGGGACCTGGGTTGGGTCCACCTCCGGTGGGCAGTAGGGCTGGGGGTCCACATGTAGGCTGGGGGCACAGCACTTGGGAATATGTACGTCCTCCCTGGCGGGTGGTAGCACCTGGAGCCTCAGGTGTGTGCTTGTGTGCGCTCACCTGTCCAATGCCAGGTTACATGGGGGTGTGGCTGTTTACACGCACAAGGTGCCTCAGTGAGCTGAGTGTGTGCATACCAGGTTATGAGCCTGACACGACCAGGCACTGGACGGGCACTCCCAGGGCAGCTGCCGGGGTTGCCATTGGGAGGGACAGGCCACCTTGGGAATCTGCAGCAGGAGCACCCACTGACTCCAACCTCGGTTTCCCTGTGCAGGGTTTTGACCGGCTGCTGGGGGTCCTGCAGGCTGCCCTTGCCAAGGACCCGGGTACTGGCTTCGTGTTCAGCTGCCTCAGCGGCCAGGGCCGGACCACGACCGCCATGGTGGTGGCTGTGCTTGCCTTCTGGCACATCAGAGTATGTGAGGACAGGGGTCTGCTCCGGCAGCAGGGGCCAGTTGGTCCCTGGGGACCTCGGCGAGGGCAGGAGGGTCTGGGGGCTGAGCTGGTGCCTGGTGTGGTCCCAGAGGCCCCTCCCGTTAGCCCTGGGCAGACGACATGTGGGCTGGCAGACCCCCAGCGTGGGTTCTGGGCACGGGGCTGTGGGAGGGTGCAGTCTGGTAGCTGGCTCCCAGTCCCAGCGGCTGTCCTCTCTCAGGGCTTCCCCGAGGTGGGCGAGGAAGAGCTCGTGAGCGTGCCTGATGCCAAGTTCACCAAGGGCGAGTTTGAGGTGAGTGTGCCCCCTAGGGTCCCCGGAGGACACCTGCAGGAGAGAGGGTGAGTCTGTCTGGCAGGTCTGGAGGGATGTTCAAAGCTCCTCCCAAGGCCATCACCTTCTTCCACCTCCTCGTGTCTGTACTTCCCTGTCTCCATTTCACAGATGAGCAAACCAGGGCACAGGGTAGCTTGGCTCTGGGCCCTGGCAGATGGCTGTGCGAAGTCGGGGCTGGCCCCCTTCCCTTTCTTCCTGGCCCTGCTGCTGGGTGGCTGTGTGCGCTGGGGAGGCCACTGGCCATTATCTTGTCTGGGTAACATTGACAACCGCCTCACAGGCATCTGGGGCCCGTCTGTGGCTGGTGACCTTGTGCAGGGCCGTACTCCACCCCACCCCGTTTCAGTTTGGGGTCCTAGGTAGACGCACTGACCTTGCACATTTAGCCACCTGGGTACTTACCCCTGCCACGTGTCGTCCCTCCTGACACCCTGCAGGCAGGTGGCAATGTCCCTCCCTCCTTGCAGACGGGGCATATAGGACTCGGGGGCATGGGGCCGCCCAGTGTCAGCGTGGTGCTCAGCGCCTGCCTGCCTGGCCAGCCTCGCCAGTGCCCCCTCCCGCCCTGCCCCTCCCTGCGTTCTGACGCCCGGGCCTCCGTGCAGCTCCTCAAACTCACCAGGCGCTGTCAGCCTCTGGGCCTTTGCATATGCTTTTCTCGTGCCCTGGACCACTTCTCTCTTCTTTCTCCTGGCTGATTCACAGATTCTTTTCCTTTTATTTTTTTATTGTGGTAAAATATGCATAACATAGAATCTGTCTTCTTAACCGTTTTTCAGTATACGGTTCTCTGGCATTAAGTACATTCACGTTATTGTATGGCCTTCACCACCATCTCCAGAACTTTTTTTTTTCCATTTATTTTTATTAGTTGGAGGCTAGTTACTTTACAATATTGTAGTGGTTTTTGTCATACATTGACATGACTCATCCATGGATTTACAAGAACTTTTTCCTCAGGCCAGATTCACCATATCCCCTAACTCCCCGTCGTCCCTCCCCTAGCCCCTGGGAGCCACCATTCTACTTTCTCTCTCCATGAATTTGACTATTTTATGTACTTTCTATAAGGAGAATCATGCAGCTTTTGTCCTTTTGTGACTGGCCTATTTCACTCTACATAATACCTGCAAATTTCCTTCACGTTGTAGCATGTGTCACGATTTCCTTTTTTTAAAAATGCTGCCTAACATTCCATTGTAAGTACTGACCGCATTTCATTTATACATTTATCTGTCTCTGGAGACCTAGGTTGTCCTCTCCTTTTGGTTATTGTGAGTAATGCTGCCGTGAACATGGGTGTACACTTATCTGTTTGAGTCTCTGCTTTCAATTCCAGAAGAGGAATTGCTGAGTCAGTTGGTAACTCACTGCTAAAGTTTTGAGAAACTGCCATATTATTTTCCACAGCAACTGCACCGTGTACATCCCCACCAGCAAAGTACAAGGGTTCCAGTTTGCTTCTCCACATTCCTCCCAACACTTGTTGTTTTCTGTGTGTTTTTTTTTAATAGCCTTCCAAGGAGGTGTGAAGTGATACTTCCCTGTAGTGTTGATTTGTATTTCCCCAATGACTAGTGATGTTGAACGTTGTTTCATTTGTCTTAAGGCCATTTGTTTATCTTCTTCAGAGAAATGTCTGTTCTGCTCATTTTTTATTTAAGTTGTTTTGTTGTTGTTGAGTTGTAGGAATTCTTTATATATTCTAGATATCGATTCCTTATTAGATATGTGATAGTTTGGTAGGTTGCCGTTTTACTCTGTTGATAGTGTCCTTTCATGCAAAAGTTTTCAATTTTTTTTTTTTTAACTACACCATGCAGCATGAGGGATCCTAGTTCCCCAACCAGGGATCAAATCTGCACCCTCCTGCAGTGGAAGTGTAGAGCCTTAACCACTGGACTGCCAAGGAAGTCCCAAAAGTCAAATTAGATTTTTTTTCTTGTTTTCTGTGCTTTTGATGTCACGTCCAAAAAGTCATTGCTAAGTGCAGTATTATGAAGTCTTTCTTCTAAGAATTTTATGGCTTTAGCTCTTAAGTTTAGGCCTTTGATCTATTTTGAATTAATTTTTGTATATAGTATAAGGTTAAGGGTCCAAGTTTATTCTTTTGCATGTGGATATCCAGTATTTTCAGCACCATTTGTTGAATAGAATGTCCTTTCCCCATCTAATGGTTTGGCAAAAATCTTTTGACTGTATACATGACGGTTAATTTCCAAGTCTGCCAGTCCTTCAGATGTGATAGTTAGCACTCTCTCCATTCACATCCAGTCCTGTGCCAGGAGCTGTTTGTGCTTCCTTCTCCACCCTTCACAGCCCCCAAGGGTTAGGTGCCCTGACTACTCCCAGTTGATGCAGGGAGCCAAGCTCATCACCTTAGAACCGCATCAGAGATGGGATGGGACCAGAGCATAGCCAGGAAGTCAGCCTCTGAATCTGTGTTCTAAAGTTACATCCTGTGATCCAAGGATACTCTGTACCCACCCTCATCCATCTCTAGCATCCTCATGTCTAGACTGCTTCCTCTGTGATTAATTCAGGTCTGTCAAGCCCACAGTCCAGTGGGGAGCATTTAATAGAGTGTGAAGAGGGCTGAAATAGACATTGGTGCTGAGGACTGAGGGCATGGCTTGGGGGAGTCCAGGAGGGCCTTGTGGAGAAGGTGCTATTTGAGTGCATTTTAGAAGGACGCATGAGTCTGCCTGCGGCTGTGGGGAGGGGTAGTATGCAGAGAGGATCAAGTGTGCAGAGGAGGGCGTCTGAAAAGGGCAGGACTATGGGAGGCTGCGGTTGGGCAGAATGGCAGGGTTTGAGGTGGGGGCCACTGATTGTGAGGACCTTGGAGGGCCATAATGTGTGTTTTATCTTAACCTTGAGGCCGACCGGGAAGTAGGGGAGGTCGGGATCAGAGTCTTATGCTGGAGGGCGTGTGTGTGGAGGAAGGCACGGGGAGGGGAAGCTGGGGCCTAAGTGAGGATGGGCCTGCCCAGTGAAACAGGAGCCCCGTTCCCACTGGTCGGTCTTGGGGACCAGTAGCGGTGGGGCAAAGAGGGCGGCAGCAGGATGACCTTGGGTTTCCGGCTGGAGCTGGTGACAGCCAAGGAGAGGAAGGGGAGGAACGATTTACCAGGAGAGGCTAAGAGTTTGGTGCCTTGCATTTGAAAAAGCTGCAGCCCTCTGCTGGGGAGCTGCCCCTGGGTCATGCTGGGGGCCTGCCTGTGGTCCATGCTCGTCTCCAGTGAGGTGTCCCACCCAGAGCTCAGAATCCTGGCATGGATTAACCCAGGGTCCTCCCAGGTGATGAGTCCTCTCCTCCCACTGGGCTGTAGCTTCATCCCCCCTGGTGTGCCAGCTCAGGGCCAGTCCCTCTGAGAAACACAGGGGTGAGGGAGATCTACCCCCACACCCCAGCCCAACCACCACCGTGATCCCACTAGGATGCAGCTGTGGAGATGAGTCAGATTAAGAGAAGGGCTGAAGAGCTGAGTTAGTCGGGTTTTGGTCTTTTGTTCATTTAGCATCATCCACGGAACACCTCCTAGGTGGAAAATCTCTTGCTCTTGGGGGTCAGGGAGCTTCTCGTCTCCGGGGGAGTGGATGTGAGCAAGTGAGCACATGGGTGCATGAGATGGATGAGTAGGTGGCGGTCGACTTCGGGGCTGTGAAAGGACTATGTGGGCTTTTGGGGTGGGTAGACTCAGAGGGCTCCAGGAAGGCATTGGGCCCATAGGAGGAGTTCTGAGTGAGGCTGGGAGGCAGGTGGGGTCAAACACTGGTGGACCTTGTAAGATGTGGGGAAGCTTTCAGTTTTTATGTTTAGTGTAAGGGAGCCAGGGAGAGATTGAAGGTACCCAAATAGGAAGCGCTCACATTTATACTTTTGTAAGGCCTCTCTGGCTACCAGTGAGGGGGAGGAGGCGGGGCTGCTGCAGTGGGTTGGGGGTGCTGGAGGCCTGGATCGCTGCTGGCGCAGGGTATGGGGGTGCAGGGTAGACAGAGCAAGATCCACAGCAAGTGACTGGGAGGGTAGCTGGGAGGAGCCCTGTACTGCAGAGCATCCTTAACTGGCCTCAGTCTCCCCAGGTAAAGGGAACGCTGTCCACACTGGGTTTCCCAGAGCTGGGTGTCCCCAGAGTGCCTGCAGGGTGGAGGAGAGCCAGTGGGGCCCCACCTGAGGCTTATCGTACACCCACTGCTCACCCCGCCAGCCCCAGTTACATGAGAGTTATCCGTTTTATGGATTAGAGTCCTGGATAAGGCTCCATTTGAAGCAAGGTTCCTACTGCTTGAAAAAATAAGCCCCTTGGGAGCTCTGGCCTCCGAGATACCTGGAAACGCCCTTGGGCCCCGTCCCTGTCTGAGAAGTGAGGGGCCGTTAGGGCCAGCACGGCCCTTAGTGTGGGCGAGCCAGTTGCTGGCGCTGGAGGCCCCCAACTTGGTTTTCTTTCGACTCATCCTTTGCCTCTGGCCCCAGGTGGTGATGAAGGTGGTGCAGCTGCTGCCCGATGGGCACCAGGTGAAGAGGGAGGTGGACGCGGCGCTGGACACGGTTAGCGAGACCATGACGCCCATGCATTACCACCTGCGGGAGATCATCATTTGCACCTACCGCCAGGTGAGCCTCGGCCCACCTGCCGTCCCCGTGTGCACAGCCCAGGAGGGGGCTGACCTGCTTGCGAGGTGGCTAGGGCACCCCACAGGACCCTCAGGGGCTCTCAGTCCCTTCTCCGCCTCCTGGAAGTCAAGGTGACCCCTGACATGGAAGCATGCCCAGCCCTGACTTTCCCCACTGGATTCTGCAGTGCTTGGTGGGGTGTGTGCAGGGGTGAGGTTCAGAGGATTCGGCAGCTGCTGTGGCCCTGGGACCCATCAAGGATGTGACTACTCAGAAGGAGCACTCTGTCCTCATCCCTGTAGTGCCAGGCATTCACCCTCCAGTTTCTGGGCCATGGGAGCCCCTGGGGGTCCTAGGGAGGAGGCAGGTGGGTGGATGGGGTCCTGGGGCGCGGCTGTTTAATATCCGGCAGGAAAGCCATCCAGTGTTTTCACAGCTGATGCTGCCTGAGGGACTAAGCATTCAATTATACAAATCAGAAGTTTTCTATTAAAGTCCAGATTTCATATAAAAATTCAGAGTTTTAGCCAATCTAGAAAAAACAAGCCCTCTCGGCAGCCATGGTCCCAGGCACTCTGTCGCACGTAGCCTGGCTGGTGCAGTTACCCAGCCCACGGGGGCTGCTCTGGCCATCAGACTCGGGGGCCTCTGGTCTCTGTGTGGAGCATACTGACCTGTCTAATTCTGTTCCTCTCTGACCCAGTGAATGTGATTGTCTGCTGGGCAGAGGAGGGTGCTGGCGTGGGAGGGGACAATTGTGAAGGGAGTGGGAGCTTTGAGAAGACTGGGCCCCAAGTGAGTGAGCACCCCCCTGGGTGCTGACTTGCGGTGGGGCAGCGGTCCCCAAGACGGGGCGGCTCTGAGCCAGCCCCACGCTCAGCCCTCACTGGGCACGCATTGTGAATGGCTGATCCAGGCCAACCTTTGCTCAGGGTCGCAGATTAGGCCACGTTTGGGGGAAAAGGGTGTTTGTCTGGAGGCAGGCCATCTGGGGTCAGGTTATGCCCAGGGTCAGCGGTCAGTTGGAAGGGATACCAAATTTGGGGTGGGGAAAGTGGTTAAGGAGTTTCAGCCTTTGCTGAGCTTTGAAAGGTGGACTCGTTTCACCCACGGCCAGCAGCGCCCTTTGGAGTCGCCTGTGGGTCTCCCTCATGGCGGTCTGGTACTCTGCCACCAGGTGGCGGCAGTGAACTGGGAGCCTGAGTTCCTGCTCCGGAGACGTTGAGAGCAGAGAACCACGCTTCCACTTCTGTCTGTAGCCAGAGGCCTGAGTCCTAGGAAGGGAATGCCTAGCTCTGCTTCAAAGTACCGTAGGTCCCCTCCCGATGTTGACCACACTCAGTCAGAGTACCCCTCTTCTCAGCCTCTTCCTTCTGGCCCTGCTAGCTCTTCGCTGCCTTCGGGCAATCCAGGGGTCCCCCCACCCCACCTCCCCTCCTCTGAGCTCTGCAGTCATGGATGTTCACTGTGGGGCGCACAGAGGGTGCATCAGGGGGCATCGGGGGGCATGAGCCTCAGGGAGAGAGGAGAGGTCCCACAGAGCAGGCCTGGAACTGTCCTGATGTAATGAGAGCCAGGGGAAGTTGCTTCAGATGGGAGGGACCGCATGGGCAAAGACCAGGAGCTGGAAAAGTGCAGAGAGAGTTCAGAGGTGGTGAAGGTGCTTCGGTGCCCACGAACACAGTTGTGTTGGAAATTGTCAGAGATGGGATTGGATGGGTAAGCTGGCTCTGCTCTGTCGGCAGTGGGAGGGAAGGGTGGTGTGGCTGGGACTAGGTATTGTAGATGCTCTGGCTGCCTTTGGGGTTTGGGGTGTTTTAATGGAAACAGAACCAGCAGAGGACTCTCGTTCCCTCCCCATCAGATCTGGCCACTTACCCCTATTCCAAAGGCCAGGATGGTGCCAACCTCTGCTGTGGGAAGAGGGGAACCCCTGAACCCCATCCCTGGTGTTGGTGATTGGGGGATAAGGCTCTGGGACAGAAGCAGGGTACAGAGTCACTCCCCAATATGGCCACCAGGTGGCCCCAGTGAGCTGCACTTGGGCTAAACTCTGAAAAGCGCTGACGAGCTGAGGGGCCTGCTGCTGCTGCTAAGGCGCTTCAGTCGTGTCCGACTCTGTGCAACCCCATAGACGGCAGCCCACCAGGCTCCCCCGTCCCTGGGATTCTCCAGGCAAGAACACTGGAGTGGGCTGCCATTTCCTTCTCCAATGCATGAAAGTGAAAAGTGATAGTGAAGTTGCTCAGTTGTGTCCAACTCTTAGCGACGCCATGGACTGCAGCCCACCATGCTCCTCCATCCGTGGGATTTTCTAGGCAAGAGTACTGGAGTGGGGTGTCATTGCTTTCTCCTTGAGGGGCCTGACACCCTCCAATTCAATTCTTCTCACCCTGACTGTACAATAGATTCACCTGGGAGCTTTATTTTTTTAAATTTTTTATTTTTTCATTTATTTTTATTAGTTGGAGGCTAATTACTTTACAATATTCTAGTGGTTTTTGTCATACATTGACATGAATCAGCCATGGGTTTACATGTATTCCCCATCCTGATCCCCCCTCCCACCTCCCTCTCCACACCTGGGAGCTTTAAAACAGGCCCATGCCTGAGTTCCATCCCCAGAGATTCTGACTCAGTTGGTCTACTAGGGATGGGGTGGCCAGGGCATGTGTCTTTTTCTAAAGTAACTTAGATAGTTCTGAAGAGCAGTTAAATTTGAGCACTGCATACTCTAAGCCAGGGCCCCCAACTTTAGGAGTTTCCGGAGTACCTGGAGGATGTTAGATGCACGTTGCTGGGCCCAGCCTGACCTTTTGCTTCTGTAGGTCTGCGTGTCTAGCAAGCTCCTAGATGCTGTTGCTACTTCTGGACGGGGGCCACACGGGGGGGTCTAACATGTCGTGTCTTGCCCTCTTGCTCTTTCCTTTGCTTTTTAAAAAAAATATATATTTTATTGACGTATAGTTCACTTAAAACGTTTCAGGTGCATAGCAAGGTGATTCAGTTATACATGTACATATATATTATTTTTCAGATTATTTTCCATTACAGGTTATTATAAGATATTGACTATAGCTTCCTTGCTCTCTCCTTTTCATAACAGTTTTTTTGAGCTATGACTCATACACCACACAAATCACTTTTTTAAAGTGTGCAAGTCAATGGTTTTTAGTGTATTCACAGGGTTGTATAATCATCATCACCATAATCAGGTCTCGAGTATCTTCATCACCCTAAAAAGAAACTTTCCGTACCCGTTAGTTATCATTCCCTCATTTCCTCCCTTCTCCCAGCCCTAGGCAACCACCAGTTTGCTTTCTATCTCTGGGCATTTGCCTATTCTGGACATTTCATGTACTTGGAGATATACAATATTTAGTCCTTTGTGACTGGCTTCTTTCACTGAGTATAGTATTTTTGAGGTTTATTCAAACTGTAGCGTGTATCAGTATTTCACTCCTTTTTATGACTAAACCTTCTTCTTGTATGGATAGATCCCATTTTGTCTATCTCTTCATCAGTTGATGGACATTGACTGTTTCTGCTTTCTGGCTATTATGAATATAAAGCTGCTATGACATGTATTTGTGTGGACGTCTTTTGTAGGAGTGGAATTGCTGAGTCATATTATAACTCTAGGTTTAATCTTTTGGGGAAACTGCCAGACTGTTTTCCAAAGTGTCTGTGCCATTTTATATTCCTATCAGCAGTGTGTGAAGGTTCCAATGTACTGCATCCTCACTATTACTGGTGATTGGCCTTATTTTAAAATTAAAAAAAAATTATTTGGCCATATTGGCATATTTTATTTGCATGACTTGTGGGATCTTAGGTCCCTGATCAGGGACTGAACCCACCTGTTTTGCAGTAAAAACATGAAGTCCTAACCACTGGACTACCAGGAAATTCCCTGGAAATTGTCCTTTTTGAGTCTAGCCACCCATGATAGTTGTGGTCCAGATGATTAGGTGGCTTCTTACCTGGTCACTGAGGACTTTTGTGGGTGAAATTGGACCTGAAGTCCTTGCCTCCTGTATGGGGGACTGTCCGTCTCTCTGCCCCTCTAGGAGGCAGTGACTGGGTGCTCTGGCAGTGTGGAGTGATGGGTTTCCCTAAGGTCCCTGAGTGGGGGTCAAGCAGATCCAAGAGGAAGGGGAAGTGGGGTGCTCTTGCTGACAGAGTCAGCTGGGAAGAGGCAGGGAATCAGTTTGGGGAGTATTGCCATCTTAACAATAGTCACTCTTCTAACCCATGAAAATGAGGTATCTTTCCATTTACTTAGGTCTTCTTTAATTTCTTACATGATGTCTTGCAGTTTCCAGAGTGTAAGTTTTATACTTCCTTTGCTAATTTTATTCCTAAGTGTGTTATTTTTATGCTATTATAAATGGAATTGGTTTCTTAATTTTATTTTTTAGTTTGCTATAAAAATTTTTTTTTAGTTGCCACTGTATAGAAATATAACTGGTATTTATATATGTATATATATATGGATCTTTTATTTTGCAATCTTGTAGAACTCATTTATTAGTTTTAATACTTTTTATTAGTGAATTTCTTTGAATTTTATGTATACAAGATCATGTCATCAGCAAACAGAGATATATACTTTTGTCTTTTCAATCTACATGCCTTTTATTTCATTTTCCCTGGTAAGGTCTTCCTGTACAATGTTGACTAGAAGTGGCAAGAACAGACATCTTTGTCTTGTTTCTGATCTAAAGAGGAAAGCTTTCTGTCTTTCACCATTAGATATGATGTCAGCTATGAGTTTTTCACAGATATCCTTTGTTTTACTGAAGAAGTTCCTCTACATTCTTAGTTTATTGAGTGTGTTTTTTAATGAAGATATGTTAAATTTTATCAAATGCCTTTTCTCTTTCCATTGAGATGATTCCTTGGCTTTTGCCCTTATTTTGTTGGTGGAGTGTATTATTGGAATTGATTTTTGGTTGTTAAACCAAGCTTGCATCTGTGGGATAGTCCTTCTTGGTCAC